CTAAATGGTAAGAATTTTAGGAAACATAAAATGAATTTCTCCTACTCAAAATGTACTATGGATTAATCGCATCATTATCCCTTAGGAGACTTTTAGAAGTGTGAAAATTTAGTCCACCCTAAACATTTAATCAAAATGCACACTTTAGTGATCCTCTGGTGATCTCACAGCATTTGAGATCAAGAAGCTTTGCAACCTCAAAATGGAAAATAAAAAAAGGTTAAAGCACAAAAAAAGATTGTAGGATTTATTATTATTATTATTATTATTATTATTGGAAGAAAGGGCATATATCATATTTTGGAAAGTCAGAATCAAGAAAGGAAACAAAGACAGGGAAAAGGAACACAGAAAAAATATGGCACATAATACTACTCATCTTAAATGTTCATAAACATTAATTCATTATCTCATAACTGCCTCTTTTACCAGGGGCTTTATCATTTCCAATAAATGGAAACAAGAATTCTGAGGGAATGGGATCCTCTAAATATCTTATTTAATGTTATCCAAAGTCATCTGTGAGTTCCCTGAAACTCTGACTTATCCATCAGGAAGAGGGGGTAACTAAACAATTTTATGTATAAAGAATTAGAAGTTCAATAAAAAATATTTCCTAACTTTGTGATAGTACCTAGCATTAAGTAAAATATCATAAAAGAGACAGCTATTATATTTGTGCCTGATTATAGAATGTACTTTACAATGTTACTTTCCCAACTAATTATAATTTTCTTGAATCCCCAGAGAAATTGTCACTGATATGCTAGTTAGGAGGCCAGATAAAATGTCTCCTTTTTTTGGAGATCCTTCTCTGAGGAAGCATTAATAGCATTAGTATTAAGTATTTTCATTAGAATGCTCTGTAAATAAAATGCAATGAATAAAATATAATTTGCAATAATACTACAGAGACCTTATAAGTACTGAGACAGTTTAAACAAAATGGTTATTTCCATTGATATTCATTTATTGATACAGAGAAACTAACAGGAATCATTAGAAATTAGGAAATCAAAGCATAATTTAAGACTTTGTTATTTTCTTCTCAAACGTTTAGTATTCTTACCTGTGAGTGATATGTATCACATTGTTGCTTTAACATTTGGTATATGAGCAAAGATTTAAAACAAGTAGAATTCACTCAATAATTTGAACTGTAGGGTTGTCTTAAAACATCGGAAGCTATGGCATTATTGATTTCATTTTTAAACATGACAACAATTGGCTGAGGGTGATTAGCACCATAGATGGGCTATTATGATGTGTTATTAATATCCTCTCACTGATCAAACACTCCCTACACCATCACATTGATTCACTCTCACCCAAAGTCTACTGGGAATGTTGAAAATTGCCCTTGAGCAGGAGCAAGGAACTAACTCAAGACTGTATCCCCTACCAGCTAGACCCATTGCCATTAACTGAGACATGACACTTTTTCATCAAATGAGGCCAATTCTGAATCCCAAATCCAGCTCTGAGGCTTTCCTTGGATCATATGAGCTATTTACTCAATCATGTCCTCCTTTACTACCTTAACAAAAGTGTCCACTTGGAACACATCACTGTAAACGTTCATGTTATTCTCCATAAAGTCTGTTTCCAGGGGACAAATACCAAACTAAAGCTTGCCTCAAATTTGTCAAATTGCTATTTACCACTCACTAAATATTCTGTTAGAGAAATTAAGATTCTGGCTCTATCAGTACTCTTTTTTGATTTGTTTCTCCCTCTGAGCAAAGACATCTTTATCTCTACCCATCTATTATGTATGAAAACACAAAGGATGGAGGGTCATGGAACTCTATTTCATGCTTTTATATTCATACCTCCATATAATTTTTAATTTCTGACCTCAGAATGGATGTTTTCAAAGATCTCCAGGAGCAGTACTCAGCTTTATAACTTCCCATAGAATTTCACTCTTTCAAGTAAAAACCATTTCAGCACAAATAAACAATTGTAACTATAGACTTTCAAAACCCAGCAACAGACAACAGCTTAATCCAATTAAAAGATTCAAGGTTGAACAGCAGCATCTAGACCAGAAAGAATAAGCAGAGATAATATTCTATATCACATTTCTTTCAGGGATAATTATGCAATACAGCCAGAACATGTTTTCCCCTTCCTTCTGGAGTTCAAAATGACCAGTGAAAAGGAGCAAACAGCCTAATAATATATTCCAAGAATAGATACCCTTGCTATATCAAGTATGTCAGTCTCTAGCACTTAGGACTTACCAACACTTTACAAATAACTTTCAAAAAAAAATTCATTTCATTTTGACAACAGCTCTGTCAAGAAGATATTTTTAGACCCATGTATAGATGAAAAGTCAGAAGTTGGGAAAAATCACATCTTTTGCACAGCTGGTAAATAGCAGGGTCTGTGTGTGCAGATTCCAACCTTAGATAGTTGACTCTCATTTATGGAAAATGCAATCTATGGTATGCTAGTGTTCATCAGAATCTCTCTGAAATTGTTAGAATTTTCACATTCTGTGGCAAAATTTAGATGACCAAATTGACATCAAAGTTTAAACATTTTACTTTCAGTTTTCTACATGTTCAATTTAATATCCAAAAAAAAAATTAAAACAAGTATATAAGCTTTGCTTTATAAACTCTACAATTTTACTCCAAGTATAAAGCATTACCATCATCACTGTTTTGTTTATTACAAAATAATAAGTAAAAATTAGTTCTAACAGTAATTTACTCTAAAAGTGAACTTATTGCCTAAAAATAATACTATTCTTGGCCCTCTCTGGTGGCGTGACGGGTTAAGACACAGCACTACATGGTAGCCACTTCAGTGTGAGTTCAATCCTAGCCCCTGAGGTAATCCACATGGTGTGGCAGACCTCTCCTGACCTGCCCACCTCAGCATTATACTTGGTCGATCTGCCTGTCCTGCTCCCCACTGGTGAAGCCAGTGTCTCTGGTGAAGCCTCTCACCGCCTCTGCACCTCTGGCTTGTACCCTAGTTCTGTATGCATGAATAAATAAATATTTAAATATATATATATTATTCTTGTACTTTAACAGGCTTATGGGGTAGAAACTGTAGCTAGCTTACAAGAGAGGAATAAAAGCTCTTTGTTCAACAGAGCATTTGCATGTTTATTTATTGATTTTAGCTATTTCAAATAGAACATATGCATCAAGTATATATCAAATATATATGACTATGAATGACTGATTAAACAATATTACATACTGTTACCCTAAAAAAAAATGCTTACAACAATTCTACTCAGTGTAGTCAAAAAAAATAAAAAAACATAAACTGATCCTACTCTTTGACATAGAAAAGTCAATTTGGAAAATTATGTCACCTCCACAAAATGGATTGTCATGTAGCCCTTGACATTATATTTATGAATAACACTTCATGACATGAGAAAAGAGAAAATTATATGAGAAAAAGACAGATTGAAATCTGTGCAAATGATGTGATTTCAGCTTGTTTAAAGGACAATTCATAAAAAGCTGAAAGAAATGCACCAATCTCTTATAACCTTAGCACCCTTACCTTTAAAGTGTTATAATAACCTATTTCCAAGGACTACTGAGAGAATCAAATGAGCCAGAAAGGCAATACAGCACAGTGGATGTACCTTCAGAGTCCTAACAAGAAACAGATGGCACTCTCAAATTAGATAATGGAGATAATTGGATAAGGGAATGAACTATTTGCCAAAATGTGGCAAGGTTATAAAAAGACATAAAGGAAAATGGAGTAATGCATGACCAGTAAAAAGTTAGAGGCAAATATTTCTTCTGGATAAGAGGGGACATTTTCTAAATCCCAGAAGCAGAGAAGTCTATAGGAAAAGGTTTAATCCATAGCAGCTTTTAACCTTCTGTATGTTGGTCTGTTTAACACAATGTAACAGAAAGAATCTGATGTATAAGCACCTTCTCTCTTTCATGTAGAGCCATATAGTTCTGTTTTCCAGGCTAAACAGCAAGATAGAAGATATTGGAAGAGAATTTAGATAGTAATTGACACTATTCCATGCAGTTTCTCTTTGTTGTCCTTTTTTCATTGTTCTTCAATCAGTGAAAATATGCGTTGACAACAAAGAGATCATACAAAGTCCCATCAATGCTTTATCCATGTGAGCTTTGCTCTTTGAGATCCAACATAAAAGATGTGTCACTTGGAAAGTTCATTAATGTTCATAGTGGAAGAAATCCTATAGACTGAAAAGCAATTTCATACCTAAAATAAATGTACTTGAAATGACAATAAGGGTTCTGGTACAATTGATGCACCACCTTTTTCTCTATCTATCTATCTACATACATACATACACACATGAACATGCATATATGCATATATATAACACATATATACACACATGCATATGTATATAGTAACACATGTTAATCTGTAGGTTATATATATATATATATATATATATATATATATTAACCTACAGTCTCAGTTGCAGATAGGCAACCTGTACCACTCAATCCAATAAATATGTCCTTTGCTCTGAACCTCAGTCCAAGTGATGGCACCCATTCTCTCATGAGTTCAAAGCATTCTGCTCAGGTGATAGTAAATAGACCTTTCATTAAACTATTCAAATTACCCAATTTGAGATTAACATCAGATATATTCCTACTTCTGACTAATAGAATAATTGGAACCAGCAGTTGCCTCATGAAAAAGATTGTCAAAATGAAAGTTTGGGATTAATGTGCTGATATTTTGAGAACTGCAGGGATAATTCCTTTGACAGAACGAACTAAGTAATAGATAATCTATGGCAAAGAGTAATATGACAATAATGTAAACTATCACTGGGGGTTGCTTGATAGCACAGTCTACTTAGCTACCATAACAAAATGCCACAGGCTGGAAATATTTAAACAATGGAAGCTTCTTTTCATAGTTATAGAAGCTGAAAATTCATAGAGTGTACCAGTATGAATGATTTCAGGTGAAAGCTTTTTTCTGGGTCGGATACAGTCACTTTCTCAATGAGTGCTCATGTGGCCATTCTTTGGTAAGCACAGGTGTGAAAAAAAAAAAAAAAAGAGTCTGGTGTCTTACCTCTTCTTATAAGAGCATCAGCATTACCAAATTAGAGTTTGTACACCATACAAACTTTACCACATCTTCACAGGACCTACGTCCCACCAAATCATATTGGGAGTTAGAACTTCAAAATATACATTTTTGAAAACACACAATAATTGCACAATACTTAGTTGAAACACAAGTTGAAGGCAAAAAGATACCAGATAGTTGTGTCACAGACTTATAGTAATTATAGCATGTTGACCACACACACACAAAAAAAAAAGTCTAAATTTTGAAGTTCCAGGGAATTATAAAACATAAAGAAAAATTAAAATGTTACACTCTTCAGTGGGAAATTCAAGTGGACAAAGAAGAATCTAGAGAAACAAAACAAGGGATCATAGAAAGACAGATGGAATACTGACCCTTAGAAACAGATCTCATATCTGAGACCCTCAGGAGGGTTGTTGGGGAGGGAAAGGAAAGAGTGGAGAATGTGTGTTGGCAGGAGAGAGCTTGGCAGAGAAGTAGAGAGGTCTGTGGGCACTTTGGTGGTAGGACAACAGTATTGACCACACCTGAGGGGAGAAAGCCCACACTGAAAAAAAAAAAGAAAGAATGTTTAAAACCCAAAATAAATAAACAAATCACTAAAGAGAAAGCAGAAATTTCTCTGGGAGCTTTCTAGTGCAGTATTTTTATAGCTGGGTAACAGACAAGACTAAGATATGGTAATAATGGTTAGAGTTTCAGTGTCACCTAAAAGTTCAATCCAGTCAGGCACTAGAAAAGAGTAAATAAGCTGTTGATGCATGGATAGATATATTTAGGCACTCATAATTCAGGAATTCATAGACAAGACTGAACATTTGGAAACCACAATTCATTTAGAAGTTTAGCTAATGTATAACAAACCACTCTCACTTTGAATAAACTAGAATATTCTGAAATAAAATTATTTCATTGCTTATAATTAGGATAGTTGAGTAATTGTCGTTAGATCTATAATAAAAATCAGATTCATGACTAGCCCAGCTACAGAAGTTAATAGGTTAAACTAAGACAAGATTATCTATTTAGAAAATATAAAAAAGGAGTATGTGTGGGTAATGGTACAGAGAATATTTGTGTAAGTGGATGCTAAAAGTGGTAACTGAAGCAAGATAAAATAAAAAGCTTGATGGGTACAAATTTGACAAGAGTGACATTTGTTGACAAAAAGTCTAATTTGACTAATTAAAACCTGAACTCAGTGCTGACCTATAGATTTGATCTGAAAATTTGTTTAACAGGCAGAATATGGGCCTCCTGGTGGCATAAGGATTAAGTCTCAGCACTGTGATGCAGTCCACATGGCAGCCCAAGTTCGATCCCCAGCCAAGGAGGTGACCCATATGGCACAGCAGACCTCTCCTGTCTCGTTCTCTCCCCGACATCAAGCTCTTCGGGAAGTGGAGCACCGACAACGTGCAGATCAACATTTCGCTGCAGGACTACATTGCCGTGAAAGAGAAGTACGCCAAGTACTTGACCCATACTGCAGTCGGCTATGCCGCCAAGTGCTTCCACAAGGTACAGTGCCCCATCGTGGAGTGCCTCACCAACTCCATGCTGATGCATGGCTGCAACAATGGGAAGAAGCTCATGACTGTCCGCATCGTCAAGCATGCCTTCGAGATCATCCACTTGCTCACGGGCGAGAACCCCCTGCAGGTCCTGGTGAATGCCATCATCAACAGTGGCCCCCGGGAAGACTCAACCCGCACTGGGCGAGCCAGGACTGTGAGACAGCAGGCCGTGGATGTGTCCCCTCTGCGCCGCGTGAATCAGGCCATCTGGCTGCTGTGCACAGGGGCCCGGGAGGCCGCCTTCCGGAACATCAAGACCATTGCCGAGTGCCTGGCTGACAAGCTCATCAACGCTGCCAAGGGCTCTTCCAACTCCTACTCCATCAAGAAGAAGGAGGAGCTGGAGCGTATGGCCAAGTCTAACCGTTGATCACCAGACTGCAGCCCCAATAAACCCAATAAGCCTGTCTGCCCTCGGGGCAGCTGCCTGTTCTGCTCCCCAAACTACCTCTGGTGAATCCTCTCACCATCTCACACCTCTGTACTGTACCCCAGTGTTTGTATACATGAATAAATAAATCTTTTAAAAATGCAAAATCTAGGTTCCAAACTCAATTTACTAAATCAGAATCTGCCTTCTAACAAGACACCCATGTGGTTTATATCCAACTTAAATACTAACAATCACTTTGGGTAAAGGAATAGTCCCAAGGCTTAACCTGAAAAAATGTCTTATGCATCGATAATGCTATTGAGAGACAGATTTTCCATCATTATGCTGCATTTCTGCATGACTTGTGAGCAGAGACATGGATAGCTTTTGTCCTAGGCTACTTTTCCAAAGATACTCATTGTGAACAGCCTTTGGAAACAGAAATAACATTCCTGCTTGAGAAAAACTAATGAATACTTACTAACCAACATAATAAAATTAATGTCACCTTTTGGAACAAAATGCATACTGACATAAGTGATTTGTGTTCCATAAGTTTAGAATTACCCTACATATTAAATAAGGCATGTTATCACCTGTTCCTCTTGTCAACACCAAGGATCTAGAATAATAAAGTGCTAACATTCAATCTGTTGATATTGTGGGTAATAAAACTTTTGTTCTGATACAGGAGTGCTATGACTTCTACCATCATACATATTCAGACTAACATGTCACTTACAACTAAGATAATATTTCAGAACCTTCCAAGTTCTGGACAGAAATATTAACAAGTATGACATGCTGATAGAGATATGGTTTTCTAAAAAGAAAAATATATATATCAATAAAAGCAGGTAAACTCTGATTGATACGTTTGAGAGATGAAAAATACTTATTGCAATACCTGTTAAGGAAACAATTTTGAGGGCCTTCCTTGTGGTGCAGCAATTTGGAGTACTACATTGTGAAGCTAAGCCAAGCCACGGCCACTTCAGTGCGAGCTTGATCCCTACTCCAGACATGATCAGATGCTGCAACAGACCCCTCCTGTCTTACGTTGTCTCACCTTTTACTCCCCTTAGCAGTGCACTTTGTCTATGTGTTTCTGATGAATCCTCTTGCTGCCCCTGCACCTCTGTCTTATACCCCATTTCTGTACCCATGAATAAGTACATATAAGCAAACAAAAAAGAAAACAATTTAGAGACATGAATAAATGGAAAAATATTCACTGGGCTTATACTGGCAGACTTAACTTTGTCAAATGGTCATCCTTCCAAAGTATTATAGATTCAATGCAATAGCTACTGACATTTCAATGGCATTCTTAAAAGAAATAAATCAAACAATATTGCAATTTATATGGAACCACAAAGGACCACAAAGAATGAAAATAATCCCAATAAAGTAGAGCACTTCCACATTTTTTACAAAGGTAGAATTATCAAAATAGTATAGTATTGCAACAAAAATAGACAAATCAATAGAACATAACTGAGAGTCCAGAAATAACTTCACACTTATATCGGTGATTAATCTATGACAACAATCAATTGTCATAGATTAATGATTAATATTTATCTATGTGTTTATGTGTAGAATAACTGGGGTCTAGGCCAGAGGTAAGAGGATGGTTGATAGAATTCACAGGGATAGAGTGTGGAGCAGAACAGACAGATATACAATATGCATAGCTGAGGGGTGCAGCAAGCAAGACAGGAGAGGTCTGCTGTGCCATATGTGAGTCAGTCCTTGGCTGGGGATCAATATAGACCATAGTGGGGGTAACCCTGAGACTCAACCCCAAGGCCACCCAGCAGATCCCCCAAGAAAATCCTTTTCGACAAATAGCTTTTAGAAATTGGATAGCCACATGCAAATGAATGAGACTAATACACTATCTCAGAGCATACACAAAATTTAAGCCAACATGGATACAGGAACTCGATGAAAGACTTTAAAGTGGAAAATACAGAGAAGAAAACATAAACAAAATATTCCACAACATAAAATGCAGCAATGTCTTCATGGATTTATTTCTAATAGAAAGAAAACAAAAAAGAATATAAGTAATCGGGATGACAGCAAATGAAAAAGCATCTACACAGTGAAAAAATTTACTAAAACAAAAAGACACTCTACTGAGTGGAGAAAATATTTGCACACAATATAGGTGATCAGAGATTGTTATGGCCCTCCCTGGTGGCCCTATCGGTTAAAGCACAGCACTGCAAAGCTAGCCTCTGCTGCTTTAGCACAAGTTTGATCCCTGGTGGGGGAGGTGACCCACATGAGGTGGCAGGCCTTTCCTGTCTTGTTTATTGTTCCCCTCAGCAGTCAATCTATGTCTAAATAAATCTTAAAAAAAAAAAAAATAACTCTGGAAAGTTTACTATAGAATTGAGGCTACCAAGGATTGAGAGAGATGAGAAAAAAGTTGACTGGGGGGAGCATAATGTACAATGATGAGAGATTATAGTTGTCTTGTTGGTGGTTTTGGTATGTCAACACCATATGAAGTGGGGGATCCCACACTTCTAATATACAAAGAATGAAGTAAAACAATGTTAGAATTAAAGAAAAAAAAAAAAGAAAAGAAGGGAGGAAGGGAAAAGGGGGGGAAAGAAAGAAGAAAGGAAGTGAGGAGTGAGAAGACGGCACAGCTAGAAGAGCATTGCAGGATTCATGATTCATCCCGTTCGGCAGTTTATTATGCTGGCCATCAATCCACCTAAGGAAATAGTAAAAGTTCTCTGAACATTTTGCAGTAAATATTGACTCTTCTAAGAATGGTTCTGTTCATCAGATTTCACTGTGAAATAATCCCCATGATAACCATGGATGAGGAATCAAATAGCTTTTGAGCTGGTATTGCCCTAGAATTCAGTTTAACTAGAGATGAAGGTGATTTGTTAAAGAATAATGCATTGATTCAATAAAACCCACATGAAATTTTGCTGGCCAGTCCCACTAGTCTGGGAAACTTCTTTCTCTCTCTTTTTAAATGATTTATTTATTTATGCATACAGAACTGGGGTACAGGCCAACAGGTGTCGGGGCAGTGAGAAGATTCATCAGAGACAGATTGGGGAGCAGAATAGGCAGATCTACTGAAATACATTGCTGAGGGTTGCCGTGGGCAAGACCAGAGAGGACTGCTGTGCCATGTAGGTCATCTCTCTGGCAGGGGATAGAATTTGTGCTGAAGCGGCTGGCTGCAGCTAGCTTTGTGGTGCTGTGCTTTAACCTGCTGCACCCCCAGGGCAGGCCTCTGGGAAACTTCTCTTGTACTACATGAAAATCAGGAAACAATTTAAGAAATGTTCTTATGATACTAGAAGAAAAAAATAATTTCAAAACTTCAATGAAGATAGATTTATTTTGAAAAATAACCACGGGGGGGGGGGGAATCAAATAAAAGACAACTAATGTCTCAAGTGCTATCCTTCAAGCAGAAAGCAATGTGATTATTGTTAGTTAGTCAAAGGGTCTCCAAAGTAAATATTATCCTCTGGTCCCATATAGAAAGATGAATGCATTAAAAAAAAAAAAAGGAAACTTTATAATTGAATCACAAGCTGCTGTAGGACAGCTTATCAGCAAGAATCAATACCCTCCCTTCTCTCCCAATCTCAGTTAATTTGTGAAGAAAGAAACTGGATTGCCAGCACAAACATGCCTTGCTGACTTGCTCACTGAAAGAAGCCTTCTTGTTTTCTCTCTCCTCTCTAACCCAAGCTTAGTTTATTTTGGTGTGATTAAGGGCTGAAACTAAAATCTTCCTGTCCTAAAGAAGCCATAGGATTGAAGCATTGATTCATTATGTTATAAAACTTTGGTGAAGGAAGGACTTGAAACTTAACTTTTTAAAACAGGAACTGTGATAAAACTTTTTGTCTACAGGAACTGTGATTTCCATGATATTTAATATAGGTTTTTAAGTTGAACACAGAGAATGTGAGTGTGCATTTCTGCATATTCAAGAAAGTAGACTAGCAAAATGTACTGTATATTTCATCTATGGGAATGGAATTAATGTGTATCTTCTTTTATATGCTTATACCTGTTTAAGTGCTTTATGATCAACAATAAATAATGTACAAAAAAACTATAATCATTTTTCTATTATAGAAAATGTAAATTTTCATTTCATGCACACTTCTGAAAAATCAGTGACCTTGTATATGCACAAAATACAGTACTTCAACATTTTTAAAATAGTATAATAGTTTATTTTTACATCAATTTGTGCAATTTTCCATCTCAGTTGTAATCCCTGTGGGCTTCCCATCAGCAAATCACCCATGTGCCATCACCATAATCCAGTGCATTTCCCTCCCTCACTGTTTTTGATCCCATTCCCCACTCTACCCCTATAGAATATCTCTAGTATATAGCTGTTCATTAATATTACTATCTTGCCTGGTCTGTTATATTCCTACTATGAGTGAAGCTGGTATTTTTCCTTTTTTTCAGGCTTATTTCACTAAGCATGATCTTCTCCAGCTCCACAGCTCCATCCATGTCACTGCAAACACATGTTTTTCTTTTTTGGTTTCTGAGTAATATTCCATTGCGTATATGTACCACATCTTTTTAATCCAGTCATCTACTTTGGGGCATTTGGGTTGTTTCAATGTCTTTCCAATTGTAAATAAAGCAGCAATAAACATGGTGGTGCAGGTATCTTTTTGAATCTGTGTTTTTTTGTGTCTTTTGGGTAGATACCTAGGTATGGGATTGCTGGGTCATATGGAAGCTCCATGTTAAGCAGGTTTAGGAAACTCCAAACAGTTTTCCATAGTTGTACGAGTTTGCATTCCCACTAATTTGCAATCACCATTAGTTTATTTTTCTCCACATCCTCACCAACATTTGTTATTGCTGGTTGTGTTAAGATGTGCCATTCTCACCCTTGTGAGGTGGTATCTCCTTGTAGTTTTAATTTGTATCTCCCTTATTACAAGTGATTACAAGTGATGTTGAACATTTTTTCATATGCTTGTTGATCATCT